TGTGTACCACTCGAATGCCCACTGCACACAGAGTCCAGAAAAATGAAGTCATATCATCTCCTGGAACCAGAGTTACAGACAGTTGTGAATTGCCATTTGAGTGCTGAGGAATGAACCAGGTTCCCTGGAAGATCAGCCAGTGCTCTCGGCCACTGGGCCCTGTTTGTTCTGTTTTAATCTAGGTGCTATATTACTCTCCTATTCTTTCTTTTCAAAAGCAGCCAACCATCAGAGGTTTTTCTTCCCTCTCTCCTCACATCTACCATGTGCATAAGCAACTAGAAAATTGATAATATTCATTTTTATTTTAAAAATGCATATATGCATATATATATTATTACTGGTCAAGTATGCTTAATTTTAAGATTAAAATATTCTATTTTATAATCTTTTGAGTTGAATATTTGATTTCATTGTTTCCATTTGGTTTATAAAGGTATTTAACGTAATACATGTTCCTTCAGCTGACTCCACGGACTTTGATGTTTTCTCATTATTGTTATTTTCTAGAAACTGCAGATTCATTTCAAATTTTTTTTTTAAGGTTAAGTTCATGTGCAGGGGTGTTTTGCCTACAGGTTTGCAAATAGGGCCCTTGGAGGTCAGAAGAGAGCACCAGCTCCCCTGAAATGTGGGATACAGGTGGTTAATAGTCACCACAAATACTGGGAAAACTGAACCCTGGTCCTTTCGAAAAGCAGTCAGTGCTCGTAAGTGCTAAGTCATCTCGCCATAATTTTATTTTGTAATTTCCATGATTCTTACAAAAAGTTGCTTATGTTCATCTTCAGTCCTGCTCCTTTTGCTGATTCGTTCTACCCATCTATGTTCTGGGTGATCAGGCCATGCCCATTCATATTTACAGATGGCACTCTGAAGTCATGCTCTGTAAGCTCTTCCAGAACATCATTTAGTAAATAACTTCAGGTGTGTGTGTGTGGGTGTGTGTTGGTTTACTAAAAATGGTCCCATAGGCTCATATATTTGGATACTTAGTCATCAGGAAGCAGTATTATTTGAGAAGGATTTGGAGGTGTGGCCTTCCTGGAGTAGGCGTGGCTTTGTTGGAGGAATTGTGTCGTTGGTGGTCGGCTTTGAGGTTTCAGACACCCATAGCAGGCTCCCTTTCGTTCTCTCTCTAGGCCTGTGGATCAGATGTAGCACTCAGCTACTGCTCCAGTGCCATGTGTATCACCAGACAGACTAGGCCATAAGCAAGAGCCCAATTAGATGCTTTTTTTTTATAAGTTGCCTAGGTCATGGTGCCTCTTCACAGCAATAGAACAGTTACTAAGACAGAAGTTGGTACCAGGAAGTGATGTATAGCTGTAATACACCTGACCACGCTAGGGTTTTGTTATGTTTGGAGGACTATGGAAGACATTGGGATTTTGGGACTAGAAAAGCAGTTGGAAGCTTTAATGGAGGCTTAAGTAGCCATACTAGCAGGCATGGAAGACAGTGCTGGGGTTATTTGAATTATGGGTACACAGCTCAGGAACTTTCAGAGGGGATGAGTATTAGCAGCTGCCATTCTCGTGATATTTTGGCAAAGAACACAGCCGCTTTTTCCCCTTGTCCTGAAAAATTTGCCAAAGACTAAATTGGAGAGTGTTAGACTAATGGCACTGACAGAGGATATTTCAAGAACGCCTAGAATCCACTGTCTCATGTGGTAATTAGTGACGAGTCTTATGCAGATCTATAATGAAAAAGAGCAAACTGGGCAAAGAGAAATACAAAATGTACTGTTTTAGGAGAAAAGGACCACCAGGGTGTGTAATGGAGCCAAGTCCTGCGCTCAAGGAGGTAAAAAGTTTAAAGAAAGCCCTGATACAGGGTGGGTTGGTATCCATGGGGGGGGGGGGCTCCTCTTCTCCTCAGAGGAGGGGGGGAAGAGGAAAGAGGGATATGATGGTGTGACTGGGAGGAGAGGGGGGAGGAGGCTGTGATCAAGCTGTAATGTGATTAAATAATTTGATTAATGAAGAAATAAAGTATATGATTGCATAAAAAAATAAAAAGGAAAAGAGAAAGAAAGAAAACCTGATGCTAATTAGAATAAAGGAAGCAGTGAACCCAGGGCAAGACCTTACCCATCTAACCTTCCAAATGGTAAAAGGAAATTAAAGAAAAGCACATAGCAATAGAGCAGTGACTAAGGCAATATGCTTTAAGCACTGTGTCTGATTGTGTGTGTGTGTATTGTGTGAGTGTGAGTGTGTAAAGGTTCCTATGTATCACTAAACATACTAATGGTTATAAAATTTAGGTGCCAACATTGTCAAGAATGAATAGAAGCATTGCATTAGCACTGACAGAGGCGAGCAGGCCTGGGAAACTCAAGACTTGCCAAAAGCAAATGGTAGATGAAATTTTAAGCAAATGGAACCTGGACCAGATCCTGTTCCAGTGATACTTTCAGCCCACAGATCTGGAAGGAAAATGTAAGATAAGGAGGAAAGAAATAACTACATAAGCCTTCAGATGAGTAAGATTTGCAATAAATGATTGAACATTATGAAGGCCAAGTTTTCTTCATGTATTTCAAATAGATGCACTCTGTAAAAGGCCATGAATCGATTCCGTTCTTTATAATGTAGTTGAAAGCCTAAATGCCAGCAACTTTGAACAAAGTTTGAGTTCTAGTCAGTTTGTGTTTTTTTTTTTTTTTTTTTTTTTTTTTTTTGAGACAGTGCTTCTCTGTGTAGCCCTAGATGTTCTGGAACTCACTCTATAGACCAGGCTGGTCCTGAACTCAGAGATCTACCTGTCTATATCTCCTAAGTAGTGGGTTTAAAGTGGTGTAACACTATGCCCAGCTCCCATCAGCCTTTTTTGAATGTAGACCAAATTGCCAGTTTGGGCCCAGCTTACTGAAAATAGGAAATGAAAATGTACAGGATGATTGAGGCACATGGAAAAGGGTAGGGAGAGTAGGAGTTAAAGAAGTAGGCCAGGGTGAAATCACCCCAGCACTTAAAACTTCAGAGCATAGGTCTTAGTCGTTGAAGGTGTGAGAAAGTCCTGACATGATGTTGAGGAACTGAAAGCAGCAGATTTGCATCTATAAACAATCAGTAATAGCAGCAAGAGGGGGGTTGATCAGAAATGACCAATGGCACAGGTAGGACACGGTGACTTGAATGGCTGTGGCATTGAGACGGGGACAGAAGTGGCTGGCACACTGAGGCAGAAATGTGGAAAAAGGAGAGGAAAAAAAAAAAGGGAAATACTCAGCCATACAGCGTACCTTCAGCTGGCAACCGTATGACTAACGCTTTCTCTTATGACACAGAACACGAGACGGAAGCAGGGGTTTTGGAGATTTGAAGATTACTTCGAGTTGCCACAGGATATGTTCCACAAGTAACTCTATAACCAAATCTAAACCTGAACTTAAACACAGAAAATAATTTAAAATTATGACTTTGTGACTATGGAGTATCAAGTACGGAAATAAAGAGCACAAGGGAATGCAACTTTAAGGCATATACTTTTTTAAAAAAGGTAACAGAAGCATTGTGAAATAAGAAGTATGTGGTATATGAAGCAAGTTTTCAGAAAATGGAAGCATGAGAAGTTTCTCTCGACACAACTGATATGCTATCATTGTGTTCAAAACAAATGTAACTTGGAAAAAGTTGCACTGGTCAGTTTCTTTTTCTTCTGTTAAGCAACGGCCCGACACACAGAATAATGCACAGCCAGCAGCAGTGGCCTCATCCTTGAAATCAAAGTAAACTTTAAAAGCAGTGACTGTAATATAAATGCACACACTTCAGCCCAGGGTTCCCGTTAGCACATCCAGTAAGCATACACACATACATACATACATACATACTATTGCAACTAAGCTTTAAACGAATTTCTACGGCAGCTCAGTGTCCAAGTGGGTTCCCTAGTAAGGGGAACAGGGACTGTCTCTGACATGAACTCAGTGGCTGGCTCTTTGATCACCTCCCCCCTGAGGGGGAACAGCCTTACCAGGCCACAGAGGAAGACAATGCAGCCAGTCCTGATGAGACCTGATAAGTTAGGGTCAGAGGGAAGGGGAGGAGGACCACCCCTATCAGTAGACTGGAGGAAAGGCATGGGAGGAGAAGAGGGAGGTAGGGTGAGATTGGGAGGGATGTGGGAGGGGGCTACAGCTGGAATACAAAGTAAATAAATTGTAATTAATAAAAAAATCAATTAATTTTAAAATTTCATTACAGTGCATCTAGTGTATGAATTCGCATTATTTAAAGATGCTAAATGCCACACTTAGCCACATACGTTTCTGTTGTGCATTTAATTTCTATATCCCTATATATATATATATATAGACATCAGCACAGTGGTAGCTGAGCAATGATTCTTTAAGGTGCTAGACTTCCATTTATTGGTGGGGTTTTCTAAGAGTTCCTACAAGAGGTAAGATACTGGATACATTATTAGTATAAATGTAGGATCCACCAAATGAAAACCAATTTCAAATCCCCCTATGAGCTATAATATGGTATAGCTTATTTGCCACTGTGCTTGTATCCCAGATTTTGAATCCATATTTATATTTTTGTCATTAGACAGTTTAAGTGTCTCAGAGTTTCCCTCTGCTTAACACACACACACAAATTCTACTTAGAGAATAGCAAATACTAGCACTACTGTAGAAGACTGAGCCAGTTGGGAGTTGCTTCGTGATTCTATTTGAATTGCAATATGTTGTGCCTAAAGGGATACAAATATTTTCATTCCTTTAAAATAGCCTTCTTTTTTGTACAAGTAAATAACAGAGAGTAACACTTATTTATCTTTACATAAGAACTACCTGTAAAACCCTGAATATTGTCTCCTAGCAGTAAGATAATTTTATTTGTTTTATAAAGCTCATCCTGTGGGTATCCACAGACACAAAGAAAACTGGATGTCTTGAAAAATTTAGCAGTTTTCTGAAATTTCGTAATGTACTACAATAAAAATTGATTCAAAAATTAAATACACAATGAATCGAAAAGCACAGGATAATAAAACATAATTTTATTTGTTTTTGGAATGCTGGAGTATATAATGCAAAGTATGGCTACCTAAATATATGGGCTTCAAACAAAACAATACACAGCGAAGAATTAGAAAAACACAGTCTGAGGAAAAGCAGCTTACAGGGTGCTACCAAATCTTTGCCAGATACACTTCAAAAGGGGGCTTGACATCTACCTAGTACACATGTATATACATGAGCTCAATGAAATGATGCTCTAGCACCAACAATACCACAAGCCTCATTTACTGACAGTTCATGTCCTGAAATGAAGAGATGGGTCTCAAAAGAATCACAAAAGCCCAAAACTATATTGAAAACCCATCCAACACCTTTAGCCAGCAGAGACATAAAAGTTAAAAAAACAAAAACAAAACAACTAAGAGTCTACCTAACCCTCGTCAGAATGGCTGCTACCAAGACAGAAGAGTGACAAAGCTGGAGAGACGGCTTAGTGGTTTAGAGCACTGGCTGCTCTTCCTGATGATCTGAGTTTGATTCCCAGCACCCACATGGTGGCTCAGAACCATCTGTAACTCCACTCTCAGGGGTCTGACATTCTCTCCTGGCCTCTCTGGGCACTGCACGCATGTGCTGCACAGACATACGTGCGGGTAAAATACTTCTACACATAAAAATAGGTGAATAAAAGAAAAAAATGCCAACAAATGCTGATGAGGATGCGGGGAAAGTCTAGCTCTTGTTTACTGTTGGTTGGAGTGTATACTCAAACAGCCATTACAGAGATCAGCATAGAGGCCTCACAAAAAAATAAACAGTGAGGATGTGAAGCTGGGAGCTGACATGTTGGGAAAATCTGGGGAAGAGTTCGAGGGGGAAATGAAGGATGGTTATGGTCATATTTCATTATAAATATGCATTAAAGCCTCAAATGAATATATTTAAAAGAAACACACCAAAACCAGAACAGCTTTATGACCCAGCTATTTCATTTTTGGGCATATACCCAAAAGACTATACTCTGTCGCAAAGATATGTAAACATATTTATTCTATTCTAGTCACAATAGCAAGGATTTGGAATTAGCCTATATGTTCATCAACAAATGAATATATAACAAAAATAAGAGTACATACACACAATATATTATTTAGCCACATGGAATTATCAAATTTGTGGGAAAATTGATGGATCTGGAATTATTATGTTGAACAAAATTATCCAGACTCAGAGTAACAAATACTGCATACTCTCTCTCACATACAAATCCTAACCTTTAATGTTTATATAAACAAGCACATATATATGTATGTGCACATATATGTATATTTGTGGGTATAAGTGTGGATATACATGTTGAAACTAGAAAAGGGAAGAAGGGGACTGAACAAGGGAGGGGTACAGGAAAACATCAGATGGGAAAGAGGGGCTACTGAGGTGAAAGGGCACACGAGGGGACAAGGAGAGGGAGAGAGAAGGATCAGCAAAAATACGATGTTTGAAAATACCATAATGAAACCTAGTATTTTATAAGGCAATTAAAAATATATATTTAAAAGGAAATATTTATGACTCCTACTGCACTTGTTTCAATTGGAAAATTTGTCTTCATTTCGATTCACTGTGCTTAGCTCCAGCCTTGAAAGAAGCTGGCATCTACCAAATACTGAACTGACCAGACATGATCTTGATTCATAGATAAATACAGAGAGCACTCTTTAGGAATAACATCACACTGATTATGTCATCAGCTGTATAATAACTAAACCAAGATCATTGGGCTTTGGATAACTGAAAGCATATGCCCTGAAGATGAATTCTCTTTTGTAATCTTCTTGGTTTTATATAAATCAAGAAGCTGAAGTTTTCCTTTGCAGTTAGTGTGGAAGGACCATTTATGCAAAATTCCAGTCAAGAACCTGTAAAATACACAAAAATAAAACATGAGCTCCTAACTAGCTCTCTTAGAACATCGAGGCAAAAATCATAAAGTACATTAAAATGTTTTTGTACACTAAAAACTAAAGACATTGTAAAGAGTGTGTATACACGCACACATACACACACACACACCAATTGAGATAAACTGTAGAAAAAACTTGAGTATGTGCCAAGGGGTCACTGCTAAATCATTATCATGGAATTGTTTGCAGAAGTCTAAAATGACTCTCTTTCTGCAAACATTTCACGGCAGCACCAACACCTCCGTTTCTGTCTCGTCAGCATCTGTCATCGCTCGGCAATGCTCAGTAGATGAGGAGGGTACCGCACGCGCTACACAACATGAAGGATGCACTGAGTCAGAGACAATGACTCGGTAGGAAAGGGTCTTGCCACCAACCTTACACACCTGAGCTGGCACTCGAAGCCATGGAGTGGTGGAAGAGAACAGACTTCTGCAAGTTGTGCTCTGCCGCCACACATGTACATTCCATGGCTGCCCATGCGTGTGCGCATGCACGTGCACACGAATACACACACACACACACACACACACACACACACACACACACACACACGCATTACAAAATAGAACTTTTAAAAAGATTTACTATCGCCAGGTACGACGGTACACGCCTATAATCCCAGCACTCAGGGAAGCAGAGGCAGGAGGATCTCTTTGAGTTTGAGCCCAGCCTGGTCTACAGAGTTCAGGACAGCCCAAGTTACACAGAGAAACCCTGTCTCAAAAAACAAAACAAACAAAAAGTTTTACTATTTATCCCTTTAAAGACAAAATCCAACTGTACCATATATGGCAAAAGTTAGTGTATTGAAAAGTTAATTTATATATTCTGAATTTCTCATTCTATAATTTATAATCTTTTTTCCTTTTTTAGTTTTATTACAATTTATTCACTTTGTATCCCAGCTGTAGCCCCCTCCTTCATCCCCTCTCAATCCCGCCCTCCCTCCCTCTTCTCCCATACCCCTCTCCCAGTCCACTGAGTTTTTATTATATTTTTAATATTTAACTTTAAATATGGTAATATATATTTTGATCATAGTATTCCTGCAACTTCCCCAGATTATCTTCCCCCCACCCAACCCAAATTTAAGTTTTCTCATAAAAGAAACAAAAACTCAATACAAAAACCCCCAAATACAAGAAAACAAAATAACACCATTATCAAGAAAACAAACAAACAAAAACACAATATAGTCTAACTAAATAAAAGCACACAGAAAAATCCTATGAAGTCTAATTATATGACTGTTAAGTACTCCTGAATATGAGGCCTGTCCTGCAATAGTTGATATACCCAGTGTTACTACATTGGAGAAAATGAATTTTCCCTCTCCCAGCAGGTGTAAGAAGCAGTTTAGTTGTTAACCTTTACCCTAGTGTCTAGGTTTTCATTCATTCATTCATTTTTTAACAATACAACAAAATAAAATATAATAAGATAAAATAACAACTATCACATCAAAGCCAGACAAGACAGACCAGGAGGAAAAGAGCCAAGAGAGGACACAGAGTCAGAGACCCACTCATTTGTATGCTCCAGAATCCCATAAAAACACTAAGCTGGAAGCCATAATGTATAGAAGACCTTGTTCAGACCTGTGCGGTCCCTGTGCATGCTGCTTCACTTTCTGAGTCCATATGAGCTTACACTTTTTCCACCTTCTCTTCCCTGGGCTTCCCTGAACACTGGGGGGGGGGGGGGTTGGATGGAGACATCCCATTTAGGGCTGAGCGTTCCAGGTCTCTCACTCTGGGTGATGTCTGGCTGTGGTCTCCGTATTTGTTCCCATCTGCTACAGGAGGAAGTTTCTCTGAGGAGAGCTAAATAAGGAACTGTTCTATGAGTATAGCTGAATATGACTAGGAGTTGTCATTTCATCACTTTTTTTCTTTTTTTAGACCAGAATTACTTGGTTTTACCCTATGTCCTTGAACTATCTAGTCTCAGGTTCTTGGTCACCCAAGCAGTATCAGGTTTGGTTCCATCTCATGGAGTGGGTCTTACGTCAGATCAGTTACTGGTTGGTTACTAGCAAAAGCTCTGTGCCACCACTGCACTAGCTTATCTTGCAGACAAGATAGAGAAGGGTGGCTGTCTTGGTGTTTATCTTTCTTTTTGAGAGCATGCAGAATATGTTCTCATGCCAAAGACACTGGAATGTAGGGGTAAAGGCTCTCTCTATGGAGGCACGTATTTGACATCTCAGTTCTTAATGAGTTGTGTGGGTGTTGTCTTCAACAATGGGGCCTTGCTGTCAGCTTGTGGAGAGCAACCTAAAGTCTTGGCAACAGCCTGGGTTGTTTAGGGATTCCTGTGGGGCTCCTGTGGCCAACAAGCCAATTAGCTGTAACCCAATCCCAGTATGGAAAGCTTCATTTGGTGACAAGAGATGGCTATGGGGACTCTCTCCCTCCCATTATTTGTTGAGTTAATTTAGATTGCCTCTGTACATGCACATATTTTATTAAGTTTCTACTATATTAGGTTTCCATATCTATCCCTCAAACCCCCCTCATTTTAGCTCTCTTCCTGTATTCCCTGGCACAACCCTCTCCTCTCCCCACTTGATCCTCACATTCCACACCCCCACCTCATCCATAGCTCTGCTCTATTTCCCTTTCTTACCGAGATCTGCTTTCTCTATCCCTTTATACTTGCCTACCCTCTGTGGGTCTACAGATTGTAGCTTGCTTATCGTTGCCTTCATAGCTAATATAAACATATAAGCAAATACATACCATATTTGTCTTTCTGCGTCTGAGATACCTCACTCAGGATAATTTTTTCTTATATTTACGGTTGTGAGCCTAGCCTTTAACAGCTGAGCCATCTCTCCAGCCCAGGATGATTTTTCCTAATCTCATCCATTTGTCAGCCAATTTCATGATGTCTTTCTTTTAAACATCTGAGTAAAACTCCATTGTGTAAATAGACCACATATTCTTTAAACATTCTTCTGTTGTGGGAGATCTAGATTGTTTCAAATTTTTGGCTGTTATAAACAGAACAGCAATGACCATGGCTGAGCAGGTGTCCCTGTGGTAGAATGAAGCGTCCAAGAGTGGTATAGCTGAATCTTGAGGTATACTGATTCCCATCTTTCTGAGGAACTGCCATATTGATTTCCATAGTGCTTATATAAATTTGCATTCCCACTAGCAATGAAGGAATGTTCCCTTTGCTCTACATCATCACCAGCACGAGCTGTCACTTGTATTATGGATCTTAGGCATTCTGATAAGTGTAAAATAGAATCTTAAAGTGGTTTTGATTTGCATTTTTCTGATGACTAAGGATGTTAAACATTTATTTATATTTTTATCAACCATTTGAGTTTCCTCTACTGGAAATTATCTGTTTATATCTGTAACCCATTTTAGTTGGGTTATTTGGTTTTTATAAATCAATTTTTTGAGTTCTTTATATATTTTAGATATTAGTCCTCTATCAGACGTGGAGTTGGTGAAATCTTTTCACATTCTGCAGGCTGCCACTTTGTTTAAATGACGGAGTCCTTTGCCATGCAGAAGTTTCTCAATTTTGTGAGGTCCCATTATTAATTGTTGATCTTAGTACCTGTGCTAATGGTGTTCTGTTCAGAAAGTCTTTTCCTGTACTAATAAGTTCAAGCCTGTTCCCCACTTGCTCTTCTATCAGGCTCAGTGTACCTGGTTTTATGTTGAGGTATTTGATCCATTTGCAGTGGATTTTTGTGCAGGGTCATAAGTATGGATCTATTTTGATTTTTCTACATGTGGCCATACAGTATGATCAACAGCATTTGTTGAAGATGTTGTCTTCTTTTTTCCCAGTGTGTATTTCTGGAATATACACTGTTTATGAAAAACCAGATTTTCATAGGTGTGTAGATTTATGCCTGGGTCTTCTTTGATTCCATTGATCAAGGTGTCTTTTTTATGCTAAAACCATGTGGTTTTAAGTATTCAAACTTTGTAGTATAACTTGAAATCCAAAATGGTGACAGCTCCAGAAATTCTTTTATTATTCAGGATTGGTTTAGCATTCCTGTTTTATTGTGTGTGTGTGTGTGTGTGTGTGTGTGTGTGTGTGTGTGTGTATGTGTATATGTGTGTGTGTTTCCACATGAAGCTGAACATTATCCTTTCAGTATCTGTAAAAGGTTATGTTGGAATTTTGATAGGGATTTCACTCAATCTGCAGGTTGGTTTTGGTAGGATTACCATTTTTAAACTATTAATCCATTTTTTCATAAAACAATAATGAAAGGTATAAAGATGTTATAAGATAACATACATAGATCAAGTACACAGCAGAGACAAAGACTTTTTCATATAGGATATTTAAAAGACCAAATTACTTTGAAACTTTTAGCATAAACCTGCCTAACTATTATTCACAAACTAGGAAAATAAATGAATATTATTTCCTATAGAGTATGTTGCTGAAAGTGAACTTTTCTATGCTCTCTTGTCACTTAAAAATTAAAACTTGAGCTGGGCAGTGATGTTGCATGCCTTTAATACCAGCACTTGGGAGGCAGAGACAGGTGGATCTCTGAGTTCAGGGCCAGCCTATTCTATACAGCAGTTCCAGGACAGCCACAACTACACAGAGAAATCCTGCCTCTAAAACCCAAACAACAAACAAACAAAAAAATTAAATAAAATTAAGACTTGGTTATTCTTATAGGAAGAAAGGAATGCTGCTAAGTTACTTTTTCCACTAAGGCAGGAAAGGCTGAAAGGAGGAGCAGAGTGGAGGGGAGTTGGGAAGGGGATATGGAAAGAGACTGAAGAGGGAGAAACACTATAGAAGAGGCTGTGTACCTCATTCTCTAATGCATATGAAGCCAATCTGTGTGCCAAAGTTAAGACCATCTCGGACATGGGAAAAAAACTTCTCAGGATGGCAGGATGTGCAGAGGTCAAGCTCTTCCTTCTGCTCTTGAATATTCTGTGGAAGAATTCCACCTCGTTCTAGAAGAATCCTTAGAATAAAGATTTTTCAAAAGATAGTAAGGGTTTATCTTACTGTGAGTAAAAGCAACATGAAAAAGGTATTTCTACTTGTGTGGAAGAGTTCCAGGGAAGACCTTAGAATGACAGAAATGGTTATTCACTCCACAGCAGGGGTTAGCCAGCGAACGGTAGCTTTTATTACCATGTATCACCAAAGCTCAAATATGAGCTGCACAGTGTTCCACACTGCCCTGCAGACATGTGCTAGTTCTGGAATGGCATGAGAAAAATTAAATGGCTGTTTGGGAAGAAACTTACCAAGTTTCAGAGTATTTGTGTACAAAACTCATTTGGTTCAGGCAGAGCATACTTTTTAATCATCTAATATTCCCATCTTTTTTTCTATTTACTATACTTTTTACAGAAAATTTTCTTCATAAATATTCTGATAAAAAATATGAGTAAAAATTTGTGACATTATTTCATAAGTCACATTTAAGAAACAATCCCAATTTATTGAATCCTTTCTACCCATGTGATGAAAGAGGCAGGGTCTGGGTATCGGTTTTGCTGACTGGAATAGAAACAATTCAATTCAGAGACCTGTTTCCTTTTATAGGAATGATATTTTTTAACAGAGATTAAAAAGCAAATTCATGTATTCAAAAAGTATAAGACCACAAATTCTTACATGTAGTTACCTATTTATACTACCTAATATTTTATAAATGTTTTTTAGTTAATTAGACAATAAGAATACTTTCAAAGTATCGACTTTCTTATAGTTTCTATTTCCTAGGAGAACTGACCGAAGCAATAGCTGTGAGGTACGTATTAGCCATTCTATATAAAGTTTAAGTACTTTTCTGTAGAGATTAACTTGTAATTTACTAAGAAACTATTAACTGTAACAGTCATGAAATTATCTGTGATACAAAGGTGAGAATAGATGCCTTATTTAAAATGGGTTTTTCCATGTGTGTGCATGTCAACCCCTTAAATGTTTGCTACCTGAATTGTCTGGAAAGTTAGTGACTGCTCTATGAAGTGATTTTCATCTCAGAAACAATAAGCAATAATGAAACTTTTAGCACCACATTGAAATCAAATATACCTGGTGGCTTTTCGGATGTCAACATAGGGATGAGGTGAGTCAAACTGTCGCACACATGAAGGATGAAGGTTATGAAATGATACTGCTGATTCTTTGGGCAGAGTGAAACAGCAAGGTCCTACTGATGGTCCCAGAACAACAATAATGTCTTCCAAATTACAGCCATATTCTGCTATCATAGCATTTACAGTGGCCATCGCTACACCCAACAAAGTACCTTTCCAGCCTGATAAATGGGAAGAAAAGAGGACAAGAGAAATTAAGAAGGTAGAATTTCAACTGCTTTAATGTCTCAGTGAAAAATTAACAGCTGTGGTTTATCTATTCAAAGTCCAGGTGTAATAGATGAACCACAAACATAACAACCCCATTAAAGTATGGGCTTTAACAGTAGGTGCAGCATGCAAGGCTCCTTACAGAACTAAGAACTGGTAGGCATTTCTTTTTCTCCTCTCTTTCCTATTGACTAGGGCAATGAAGCATATAAAAAATGTAACATTTAAACCACTTAAAGCCTACAACTCAGTATTAACATTTGCAGTGTTCAATTTCTCAAATTCTTTCATGTTGCAAATTTGAAACTATATTAACAAACAGAAACATCTCATTTCTCACTTCCTACAATTTCCTTATTGTTGTGTATGAATTTGATCACTCTGCATACTTCGTGTGAAGGGTATCGTATTGAATTTGTCTTTCTGTGACTGGCTTATTGTACCAAGTATGAAATCTAGAAGGTTCATCTGTATTGCAGCATGTGTCAGAATTTATTATTATTATTATTTTTTTAAGACAAATACAGGATAACCATACTATAATCCACAGGGCTTAAGGAGCTAATTAACAAAGAGGACCTTAGGGAGGATGTTTAATTCTCATCCAGAAGGGAAAATAGAATAGACACCTATTGTGGCTGAAGAGAGGGAACAGGAAGGAACCTTCCATAGCTGTCCTCTGAAAAACTCCACCCAGCAGAGGATTAAAGCAGATGCTGAGACTCACAGCCAAACTTTGGGCAGAGTGCAGGGAGTCTCATGGAAGATGGAGGTGACAGAAGGACCTAGAGAGGAAGGAGCTCTATAAGAAGACCAACAGAGCCAACTAATCTGGGCCCAGAAGTTCCTGCAAAAACTGATGCACCAACCAAGTACCATACATGGAGAGGACGTAGGCCTCAAAAACCTAGGCAGATAGGCAGATAGTTAAGTCTCCATGTGGGTTCCCTAGTAAGAGGAGCAGTGGTTGTCTGACACGAACTCTGTTGTCTGCTCTTCGATCACTTCCCCCTAGTAAGGTGGCCTGGTTCAAGGTGGCCTTACCAGGCCACAGAGGAAGAGGATACAGGCGGTCCTGAAAAGACTTGATAGTATAGGGTCAGTTGGTAAGGGACCAGGGCTCCCCCTTTCTGAGGACTAGGGGACTGGAATGGGGGGAAGAGGAAGGGTGGGACAGGGAGAAGATGAGAAAGGGGACTATGATCAGGATGTAAAGTGAATAAATTAATGACAAAAATTAGCAAAGATGGTAAGAAGATATTATATATCTTATCACATCACATTTTGCTCTGTACGTTTGTCACTGTGCACTTAGGTTGTCTGCACTTCATGGATCTTATAAATCAGGATGCTATACATATAGCCATGAGGCCTTTTGGACATAGAGTCAGAGCCATAATTGCTAGATCTTACCGCAATTCAACTTTGAACTTTTTAAGGAATCGCCATACTTTTTTATTTTTAAACTTGATGCAGGGGCTTGCTATGAAGTTGGAATCCACTATGTAGGTCAGGCTGGCCTCAGAGATCTGCCTGCCTCTGCCTCTGCCTCACAAGTACTGGGATTAAAGTGCCACCATACCATTTTTCATAGTGACTTTTTATATCTTTTATACTCATCATTCCTGGAAAGTTTTATCTTAAATAGTTGCTACCCTAATGTACGCATGATAAACTTGTGATTTTGACTTACATTTCTTTATTTATGACTGATGTTGACTAAATTTTCTTATGCTTCTTAGCTACTTGTAAATAAAATCCTATTCCTTAGCTTCTGATCTTCCTGCCTCTACCTCCTAAGTGCTGGGATTGTAGGTATGTGTCACCATACCAGGTTGTTATGATACTAGATATTGAACGTTGTCAAGCATGCCAAGAAAGCACTCTACCTATGGAATTATATCCCCAATCCCTTTACCAATGTTTAAACCCAGTTGTTTTACTGTAGAATTTCAAGTGTTGTTTTAGTTAACCCCTTACTAGATATAATGGTTTGCAAATAATTTCTGCCATTGTGTGAATTTCCTCTCTATCCTACTGATTATCCTTTGATGTATAAGTATTTTACATTTTAATGAAGTTCAATTTACCTGTCTTTAAATTCATTTTTTGTTTTTTTCTCCTTTGGATACTGAAAAAATTTATTACCTTAATCCAAAGACATGAATACTTACAGTGTTGATTTTTTTCCCCTACAAATTTTATAATTTTTGCCTCTTACAATTTAGGTCAATGATCTATTCTGACCTAATATCTCTCTCTCTCTCTCTCTCTCTCTCTTGTTTTGTTTTTCAAGACAGGGTTTCTTTCTGTAGTCTTGGCTGTTCTGGATTTGGCTGTCCTAGAATGTCTTTGTAAACCAATCTGGCCTTGGACTCACAGAGATCCACTTGCCTCTACCTCCCTGAGCACTGGCATTAAAGGCATGTGCCACTGTTCCGGGCTCTAATTTTTCTAATGTTGTTATGGTAAGGGCCAGAATCCTTTTTTTGATTGCAGATGTATGTTTTTCCCTGCTCCACTGGTTGAAGATACCATTCTTTCCTCTTTGAATAACTGATTTGGCATCTTTGTTATAAAGCTTTCGAGCATAGGTCAGGGCTTATTTGTAACTTATGGGCTATCTATCCTATTTTCTTGATTTATATGTTATTTTTAATACTAGTGTTATATTGTTTTCAATATTATAGCTTTGAAATTAGTTTTAGAATTAGAGACTATGAAATGTCCAAGTTCAATCTTCTTCACAAGATTGTTTTGAGTATCCAGAGACCCTTGAAGTTACAAACGTAATTTAGGGTTGATTTGATTTTCTTTTTTTTTTTTTTTTCTTCCTGTAAAAAAATGGCATTGGAGATTTTGTGGGATTGCAGCACATCTGTAGACAACTTTTGGTAATGTTTACATCTTAATGATATTGTCTTCTACTTCACCACATGGGACCTCTAATTATACAACGCTTTTTTAACTTCTCCTAGTGGTGTTTTAGAGTCTTATAAGCTCTCTATTTTTCACACTAAAATTAATCTTTTCCAACTAACAGTCTCTTTTCTCAGATTTTTCTACTATCTCTTTATTGTCCTTGGATTTCATAGTGAGTTCTAAGGTTAAGCCACTCTCTTCATTCCTGCTTCCATTTAGTTTCCTAAAATAAAACCTACAAGCATTACATTATTTTCCTTTCATTCCTTAAATCTGAGTCGAATTCAATTAACCGAGTTGGCCGCTAAAGAGTCCCCTTATGCTTTTGTTCACCATTGCATGTAAGTATCCTTCTACAACTGAACACCTGGGTAAAGAGATAAGCCACTTTAGATAAAAGAAACAGATGGTAGGAGCAATAAATATTTAAATAGTAAACTCAATTTTCCCTGGTAACTCACTGAATATACAATTATATAGAGAGGACCAAACTGAAATGCTAGGTTGCTAAGTTGGTAGATAAGATCTCAATACCAAAAAGAGAAAAAAAACAAACAAAAAACAAAACAAAAAAAACCCAAACAAACAGGAAAGTCATGTGGTAGAAAAGGGTTTAGAAAAACTATGAAAACTATGTTGCTTAAGGGATTTGTATCTCTTTGTATATCCTACATGTACCCTGATGTGGTGGGAGCCCTTGTTTTGCTTGTCCTCTCTGTAATTGCCGTACACTTTTGACTCTCTTCAAATGATGGCTTCTGCTCAAATCAAGCCCAAGCTTTTCTCAGCATTTCTCTTTGGTCTACTGGCTTTGCTTCTTCATTGTCTTACTCAGGTTAATTCACTACCTGCAGTGGCCCTTTGCCATGAAATACTGCCTTTCTTTACTTCCTTGACTAGTTTTTGTTGATACAATTAGATAGATGGACCCATGTATTCTAATCGTTTCATTGTCTAAATTACCAAAGTGCTTTTGATTACATTGTAGCAGACATTATAAAGTATAATAAAGTCTTTCTATCCAGAAAAAAAATAAAAAGAAAAGAAAAACTATGTTGAATTTTTAACGTCATGTTCTGAGACTCCTTTGAAAATGCAGGCAGTAATTTTCAGAAAAAACAAACAAACAAACCTTAGTACAGATATTTTGATGACTGTCAATACTTTCTATATACACAAGGACAGCTTTCTGCCTCAGAAACTTTCCTTTATCTTCTTACCAGCACAAACATATTCACATACATACATATAGTTTAAAATATTTTATATATTGTTATGGTAAGGGTTAGAATCCTTATTTTGCTTGTGGATGTGTGCTTTTCCCTGCTCCACTGATTGAAGATATAATTCTTTCCCTATTGAATAACTGTTTTGGCATCTTTGTTAAAAAGCTTTCAAGCATAGGTCAGAGCTTATTTGTAATTTATGGGCTGTCTATTCTATTTTGTTGACTTATATGCTATTTTTAATACTAGTGGTATATTGTTAAATTAGTCCCATAGAAGGGCGTTCAGATGAGGTGATATCCAGTAAGTAAGTAAGTAACATATTCAAGTGTATACTATTTCATGGCTAATTTAGTAATGATTTGAAGTTCATATTTCAACTTTACTTTGACTAAATCTTAGATATTTTCAGAATAAATGTTTTGAAACCTAAGAAGTAATATTTCCTTCAATTCAGAGTAAAATTTTAAAATACTTTTAACAATGTCATACAGTAAACTTGACCTCTCACCCAATTCTGTTACCTTAGCTTGGACAAAAGAAAATTATGCTACTTGACTCTTTCTTATCTAAACAGCAAAAGAGTCATATATTTACAAGTAAGATGAAATTCAAAAGATCATGTCTTATTTTACATAGGATAATAAACATTGAACAACCTAATATTATTTTTAAATTACTTTAGAAAAGAAATTCTGTGACACAATATAGCCTCCAAAAATGCCTTTATATTATCTTTAGCGAATAGTCACAGTTTAACACAGTTAGTTATTTAAACTAAATGTGGCTTTCCACTCATGGATAGAGATAAGCACGTCTTGTTTTCGTTTTTGTTGTTGTTGTTTTTTCTTACTGCCTTTACTCGTGCTGCTTTCCCTCAGTGAACTCCTCTCTATAACAAGCCTAACATTCCCATTCCCTGGTGCCCAGACTCCCAGGATTCTTGGCCAGAGGCAGCCACACCCTAGAGTGTTTTGAAAGGCATGATGGGTTGTATTACAAGGCCTATGGTTATTACACATATTCAAAACTTCAAGGACTAAAGACAATTTAATTTGCACTGCAGGGTTATTTTGCCCCAAATGTTAATAGCATATCCTTGCATAGAGATACTGACAACTTTAAAATGTAAAGATTCCTGAATATCACAGGATGGCACCTACTTAGGGAATTCTAATTCATCTGATTCATCTAATTTGACTTGAATACTCCTATCTGTTTCCATAGTAAAAGTATGAAGGCCTCATCCTACCACAGATCAATGCAGTTCACAACTTTCTAAGCCCATCAAAACATTTTAAAATCACCCTGTCTTGCAAATTAACAAAATCCTAAACAATAAATATACCTACCAGAGTGAGCCACCCCACATGCTTTTCTCACAGGATCTGCAAAGACTAGAGGTATGCAGTCGGCACCCAGAGCTGTGATGGTGACTCCTCTCTGGTTTGTGACTATTCCGTCATAAGACTCCGGCTCCTTCTTCCCCATAGTCCATACTTCACTGGCGTGGTCAGGCTAACACAAAACACGGGACAAAAATGTTCTGCAAATGAAAACTCCTCATATGTGAGCTTTCCTGAAAGTATTGGGCATGAAATTAGGTAATCATTGTATGATTATCCACTTCTACAACAGCTAAAATATCAAATAACAACTCTCTGCAGATGTTCTCACAGAAAAGGAAACTCAAGTCATGAGCATCCCCCATTAGGGATAAGTAAATCTTTGAGTAAGTCTCACAAAAGGCGAGTTTCACTTTCTCTGCAGAAATGAAATACCACATGACTGATTTTTCCCCCCCTTTTGTTAGACTCAAGTAAATTCTTGAGTTTAGAATCCTTATATAACAGATTTTCTCCTCACTTAGACCCTAGTTCTCCTTGGTCTCCACTTAAAAAGTTATGGACCTAACTTTTTTCCTGATCATTCAGGGACTTTTCTTTTATATTGAAAAGACAGTAGTGGTTTTATACTCTCAAAAGGAACTAAACTTCTAGAATCGAGGAGTTATAGATGAAATACATACACACACACCCATACGAACATTTGATCTCTAGGCTATAATGTATATAAAGTAGAGAAAAATAATTTCATCATTATCCTATAATGTTAGATGAAGTACCAGAAGCAAAAGTTAAATAGCATAAAGGTTATATAAATATAGTGACAGTGAAAACTGTCGGTATTTCAGAGGACCAAAATATGTGACAAAAGTTTACCTTTATTCGGTAAAATCTCTCCGCATTAAATCCTGCAGCATTCGCCAACCTACGAACATTTTCTTGAACAACTACTTTGGGATCTCTCCGTTTGGAGCTACTGAAAAGATTGAGTGAGCTGAGAGTTGGTATATACGATATGCCGCCTGTCCTTGTAGTAAACCCATGTATGAAGAGATCTGCTGGAAGTAAGCGGGGGGAAAAGTAAAAAGATGTTCTACCAAAGACTAAACAGTCTCCCCATCAGACCCTCCCTGGTCACTCCAACAATTATTAATCTGGTTTCTAATCCTGGCTGCACTTTGCACCTCCATGTGTTGTTACGTATTGCTGTTTGTTTTACCTTCCTTACAGGGTTGCTGCTCTTCCAAGGGTACTTCTGTTTCATCGGTCTGTCATACATAACAGCATATATAGCTCATGATAAACACTACTTATCCAAGGAGGGTTATTTGAAATTTTACTCTTCTGTCAAAATGCCCAAAGGGTTGAAGTTTCAGCATTTCTACATAAAGGATTTTCCAGGCTAGAAAAATCTTGGGTTTTGTTGCTGTTGTTGTTGAGGTTGGTTGGTTGTTTGCTTTCCTAAGGAGGGCTGGGAGATTTCCCTTAGAGTACCTTTGCACAGGGCAAATTTGTATATTAGGGGTGGCTCTGATGAAGTCATCCCTAGATGCCACTGCCCCTCAGCTCATAAAAACCCCATGTTGCAAAAGATGAACAATCCACAAAAGTCAGCAGAAAGAAGAAGAAGGAAAAAAGGAAGCGAGCCACTTCTGAGGAAAGTCTGGGTTTTCGCTGTAGTACAAACCGCAGAGAGTACAGAAGGTACCTGGGATCAAAGGTGATGTGATAATAGCCAAGTCCCCTTTCAGAGCCGGCAGGCTTCTTAGGTACGTTTCTACTTCATTCCGTACGTCTTCTGGTCCGTGACCTGTGGCCGCATCTCTTTCAGCCGTTGGTTGCAAAAGGCTATCCCTCCAAGCGACCTGTAAATCCTCAAACTCAAAATCATACACATTAGTGAAGAGTTGATCAACAAACGCCTTCAGTAGCGGTTTCCTCTGCTCAGGTGCAATCACCTTTACACGGCTCAGATTTTTTTCATCAATTTTTTGTTTAATGGTATACAGAGAGGCAGCCATGCTGGGGTTGCTGACAGTCTCAAATTCTCCCATGAGAAGCGAAAATCCATTTGCCGCCTCCAGTTCACAAAGACCCAAACCACCATCCCTTTCCTTGGTGTCTTCACTGCAACATATTATGCAAAGGAACTTGGCCTTGGGAGCGTGGTGGTGGTGAATACCATTCAGTGTCTTCAGTAAGGTCTGAGGGCAGTTTTTCGGAGAGTTCAATTTTAAACCGGAGAGATCAATCAAGACTGCTTCTGCCATCCTTCAATCAGGCGCTTTTTCTCAAAGGAGACTTTTATGACAAATCGGCTGTAAAGAGAAATTATCATAAATGACAATAAATTAAACCAGTCTTCTTACAGATACAACAGAAATCTGTGGTGGACCAAAAGGAAGTGATACCATTAATAAAAAAAAAAAAAAGTAACCAAGATAAATGTAGAGATGAGGCCAGAAAAGCTACTACCCCGTCTATCATGATAATTAAAGCAGAGTCATCTTTTCCCCATTTCGCTGGGAACATTTTTTTTTTTTTTTCCGGGAGCACCAATTCTGCTTTGTTTTCTTTATAGTACATTTTAGGTACAAAATGACTGACTGAGATCAAGTCCTGCTTTTTAATTAGAGGATGCTGTATCATTATTTCCATCACGCCTATCCGATTAGATCGCATCTCATCTGAAATACCTAGGACTCACCTTTAGGAAGTGAAGTTGAGCAGCACCAGCAAATTTCATTTGGGGCGAGGGTGGGGTTAGAGGCAGGGTTTCTTCTTGCAGCCTAGCCTGTCCTGGCACTAGCTCTGCAGACCCGCCTAGCTTTGAACTCACAGGGATCCTCCTGCCTCTGCCTCCCGAGAGCGCTGGGATTAAAGGCGTGAGCTACCACGGCATTTTTTGTTTGTTTGTTTTTAAAGATTAAAGCTGACCGTTGGGATAGGCTTCCCCCAGCATTTACTGGGCACTCCACACTCGGGATAACCACGACAGCCTTTGCAATTTGGATCAGGGGCGATTTCTGCCCGTTCGCAGATTCCGTCTCACCCTTTTGCCAGCGCTCCCAGTCCCGGCTGGAGCGCCCTTCCCCGACCCCGTGCCCCTGAATTCCTGGCGACCCCTTGCAGGCCTCTCACCCCTGAGGCCACCTAAGCCCACCCCGCCCTCCGCCCCCCGAGGGCCCTGGCGCTCCCATTCATTCTTTCTGCCCTCTGTGCAGGGCGACCTCGGAGGAGCTGGACGACCGCGCCCCGCCCCGCCCCGCCGCCCCGGACCGGCCGACGCACTCACCGCGGCGGCCCCGGCGGCCGCGAGCTGGGACGCGAGAGCCGCAGCCTCCGCGCACGAACCCGGCCGTCGGCGGGACGCCCCGCCGTCCGCCCCGCCCGCCTGCCGGGCCTCGGCCTCCCGAGGGCGTTCGCCCGGGCTCGGGTGTTCCCGCCGCGGCCGCAGAGCGGCGCCAGGCCCAGCCCCTCGCGGGGGATTCCCGCGCCGGCCGGCAGTTCCGGGTCAGCGCCCCACAGGCGCGGGAGAGGCCGAGGCCGTGAGGCGCGGGGGGCCGCGGGCGAGCGCGTCCCGGAGGTCGTCAGGGCGGAAGCGTCCTTCCCCGCGGCCCCCGTGACTCCAGCAGCATCTGCTGACCCAAGCAGCTTGGGCAACCTGTCACGTTTGCTCCGAGCGCCCAACAATCCGGGCCTCAAGTAAGGGTGCCCTGGGGGACTTTTGTGGGGGAGTGGTTTGGTTTTTTGCTTTTTGTTTAGTTAGGGGTTTTTTTTGTTTTGTTTTTTTTCTCGAGTTTCCAGTTAGTTTGTTCTCATCCCCCCACTCTCCCACCACCTTTCTGCTGATACTGTGCTTTCATTTGGGACCAACATCCTGGACTGCCCTTTCACTTGTGTTTTTTAAAGTTCCTTTTAAAAAAAAAAGGTGGCCCTTAAGAGGACAGAATGCATTCGTTCTTAGAGTGGCAATCAGATAAAAAAATTGAGGATCCTCCAGTGGTTTGATGGGTATTTATTTAAAAACCACATTATGAAAATCAGGTACTGTTGCAAATGGGAGAATAGCCAACCTTCAAAATATGAGAGAAGATAAGGGAACGCATATTTTCTGTAGACCGGGCTACGGAGGAAGGAGAGGGCCCTTAGTTTTCCTGGGTGTTCCTTTAAGTGCTGAAGAAGTGTTTCTTGAGCGAGAAGACTCGAGGGTCTCTGGGAGTTTAGAAGAGTTCTTGTAAGTATGCACCAACCTCCACTACAGACCAAGGTAACCAGCCTACACAGAACCCGTTTCAGTACGTGTGACCGCTTTGTGGGCGGAGACAACGTACAAATTTATATTTTCTCTTTTTTTTTTTAAAAAAAAGAAAATTTATTTAATTACATTTTATTCACTTTGTATCCCCCCATAAACCCCTTCCTCCTCCCCCCTCCCAATCCCACCCTCCCACCCTTTTCTTCACGCATACCCCTCCCCAAGTCAACTGATAGGGGAGATCCTCCTCTTCTTCCTTCTGATCTTAGTCTATCAGATCACATCAGGAGTGGCTGCATTGTCATCTTCTGTGGCCTGGTAAGGCTGCTCCCCCTTAGGGGGAGGTGATCAGAGAGCAGGCCAATCAGTTCATGTCAAGGGCAGTCCCTCTTCCCATTACTATGGAACCCTCTTGGACACTAAAGTGTCTTGGGCAACATCTGTGCAGGGGTTCTAGATTATCTCCATGCATGGTACTTGGTTGGAGTATGAGTCTCTGGGAAGACCCCTGTGTTCAAATTTCTGGTTCTGTTGCTCTCCTTGTGGAGTTCCTGTCCTCTCCAGATCTATTTCCCAATCTTCTTACATAAGATTCCATGCACTCTGCCCAACAGTTGGCCATAAGTCTTAACATCTGCTTTGATAGTCTGCAGGGCAGAGCCTTTCAGAGGCCCTCCGTGGAGGGTTTCTAGCTTGTTTCCTGTTTTCTTCTTCTTCTGATGTCCTTCCTCTTTGCCTTTGGGGATGGGGGTTGAGCATTTTAGTCAGGGTCCTCCCTCTTGATTAGTTTCTTTAGATGTACAGATTTTAGTAGGATTATCCTATATTACATGTCTATATGAGTGAGTATATACCGTGTGTGTCTTTCTGCTTCTGGGATAACTCACTCAGGATGATCCTTTCCAGGTCCCACCATTTACCTGCAAATTTCATGATTTCCTTATTTTTCATTGCTGAGTAATATTCCATTGTGTAGATGTATCACAATTTCTGCATCCATTCTTCAGTTGAGGGGCATCTGGGCTGTTTCCAGCTTCTGGCTATTACAAATAAAGCTAAGCAGCAAACCAAGTAATCCAATTAAAAAAATGGGGAACAGAGCTAAACAGAGAATTCTCTGTAGAGGAATATAGAATGGCAGAGAAACACTTACAGAAATGCTCAACCTCATTAGCCATTAGGGAATTGCAAATCAAAATGACCCTGAGATTTCACCTTACACCCATCAGAATGGCCAAGATGAAAAACTCGAGTGACAACACATGCTGGAGAGGCTGTGGAGAAAGGGGAACCCTCCTCCATTGCTGGTGGAATGTAAACTGGTACAACCACTCTGGAAATCAATCTGGCGCTTTCTCAGACAACTAGGAATAGCGCTTCCTCAAGATCCAGCCATACCACTCCTAGGCATATATCCAAAAGAGGCTCAAGTACAAATTTGTTTTTTCAACTGGATACTTTTAGGAAGTAATAGATGATGCACATCTGGTCAGATGTACGTGCCTTAGCATAAACTTGTTTTATGTTAAGCAAAATGATTTTTTTTTTTAATTTACAAAGCAGGTTTAGAATATTTCCCCTGTTTTCATGCATAGTATGGAGAGTTCAGATTCTTTCGTGCGACAGCGCTGGCAGAAACAAACAAAACTTGCAAAATCTCGAAGTTGTTAGGGAAGTTCTTATATTGTATTTGCATACCATTTCCTTCACCATCTGTTCTGTTTGAGCCTCGTTTTTCTTAACACTCTCACCCCTTTCTCCTACTGCTCCAGAGCCTCTCAACCCTGGTTGCACATCCAAACAAGTAGTCCTTAAAAATAACAACGTAGCTACTCCACAGCCCAGCTGCATATTGACTCAGAGTCTATTAGGAGTCAGGCTTGGGCATGCTTTGTTCTGCATTTTTGTTTTCATCTTATGGATGATTCAGATGCATAATTCATTTTACAAAAAGAAAGAAAGAAAGAAAGAAAGAAAGAAAGAAAGAAAGAAAGAAAGAAAGAAAGAAAGAAAGAAAGAA